TTTTGCTTTCTTTATTTAGGTTTACTTTCTTTATTTAGGTTTCTTTTAGCATTTTACTTTCTTTATTTAGGAGGGTCACACCAGGTGATGCTCGGGGGTTATTCCTTACTACATTCAGAAATTACTGCCAGTGGTGCTTGGGGAACCATATGGGATGCTGAGGATTGAAGACCTAGGTCAGCCATATCCCAGACAAGTGCCCCACCTGCTGTACTATCTCTCTAGCCCATCTTTTAGTATAGTAAAGATATCACCCTATTGTTTCTGGTCACGTAACTTCTGTAACTTCTCCAGTGAGAAGTTAGCTATAGTTCTTATCTTTGTTCCCTCCTGGGTAGCGTTATCTCTTCCCGCTCCATGCCATCAAGATTTTATCTTTGATTTTCCAGTTTGGTTATGATAGATCTTACTGTTGGAGTATGTACTTACGCATGTGTCAGTGTTTGTGTATTTTTGTTGTTGCTGTAGTTTTGGGGCCACACCTGGCTGTGCTTAGATCTTATTCCTAGCTCTGTACTCAGGGATCACATCTGGCAATGTTCAGGGGAGGATGTGTAATGCTGATGGATTACATATACAAGGACATGCAAAGCAAGTGCCTTACCTTCTGTACTATCTATCTGGCCCTTTGTATATGTATTTGTTTTTTTAGATTCTCTGAGTTTCTTGGCTTTGTGGTTCTTCCACTGCCTTCGGGAAGTTAGTGACAATTATTTCTATAGAAATGTACGCCCTTTCTCTGTGTGTTTCAATCTCTTCCTCATATCCTGGAATCCAAGCTTCTCATATGTTAACGGTGTGTTCTGTTTTTCCTGGTTTGTTTCACACTCTTCTCTTTCTCTTTCAATGTGGGTAATCCTGTTGACCTATTCTCTCTTTTCCTTTTTTTTTCTGTTTGTTTTTGGTTTTGGTTGGGGGGGACACCCAACATTTCTAGGGCTTACTTCTAGCTATATGCTCAGGGATCATACATGGCAGAACTAGGGGAATTATATGGGAGTATTGGGGGCCAAACCTTGGTCAGCTGCATGCAAGGCAGGCACTTAACCTGCTGTACTATTCTTCTAATTCCAATGACCTATTTTTAAGTCACTGATGTTTTTCTCAGCTGTGTTGAATTACTGATGAGCCTGCTAAACACATTATTATCTATATTTTAAATTTCTAGTGTTTTTCAATGAGTTTTCTTCCATACGACTATTTTATAGTTCCTGCCACCTCTGTTAAAATTACCCTTCTGTTGATGCATTTTGTCCACACTTTCCAATAGAGCCTTTTGCATATCAGTTTGTAAAAACAAGGCAATTCCTTTTACCTTTTTTTCTCCTATAAAATTACAAAAATTTACAGTGACTTAAGCTTGATTCTGTTGAGTACTTTGTCTCTTCATGGAGGATTTTTTTTTCTTATTAGCTTTCTTTATGTGTGCTTAATTTTTGGTTGATTTTCTGATCAAATAGGTGGCACAGTCGAGACTGAGGTCAAATTATTTATGCCTGGGACTTGTCATATCTCATTCTGAGAGCATGGAGGATGGAGTCAATTCAATTGATTGAGGCTATCGACTCCGGAGTTGAACTGGGTTTGAGTTTTGTTGAGTCTTTGTTTTGGGAACTCTCAGATTGTGTGCTCTCAAGCTAGCCATCCTGGGCCTTAAGCAGTTCCCAAAGAATGTAGCTGCGTGCTTCTTACCTGAACACACAGAGACGTCATCGTCTGCCCACTTCTCAAGTGTGCTGTGTCTACATCTCATTTCTTCTTGGATGGGCTTATCTTTTGGAGTTCAGGTGAATTCAGGTTATTCAGGAATTCAGGTTAATCGGTTGCCATGGAACCTGAGCACTGTGATGGGTCTGTTTTATGTTACTTATTTTTTTTTGCTTTTTGGGTCACACCTGGCGATGTACAGGGGTTACTCCTGGCTCTGCACTCAGGAATTACTCCTGGCAGTGCTCAGGGGACCTATGAGATGCTGGGAATTGAACCCAGGTTGGCTGCATGCAAGGCAAATGCCCTACCCGCTGTGCTATTGCTCCAGCCCACTGTGATGGGTCTGAAAAAGATTTTTCATCCTATAGCTGACCTAAGGACTTTTCAAAATTATTATTCTTATGGTAAAGATGTTTGTCCCGGTTTTCTGCATCCTAGGAGGAAGCCAGAAATCCTGGCCAAACACATTTCCGTGCCCTTTCAGATCCCTGCAGAATCTGCTGTTTGGATCTATTTTAATTTTATTATTATTTTTTTAAAATCATACTTGTCCAGAGTTGCCCACTGAATTATGATCTATCTAGTAAAGTTGATTTTTCCTTCTCTATTTCCCTTCAAGTTGCAAATACTAGGCAAAGAGAAGGTACAGAGAGGTCCTGATACATCCGCATCTTAGGGAAAGCTCAGAACAGGCCATGAGGCCTGTTCCCCAGACTTGAAATAAAGGGAGCGGGGGTCGGAGAGGTAGGACAGTGGGCAGGTTGCTTGCCTTTCACATAGCCGACACTGGTCCAATCCACAGCACCCTGAGAACTGCCAGGGGTGATCTCTGAGCATGAAGTTTGCCCTGAGCACATAGCTGGTGTGACCCCCAGATTAAAAAAAAGAGGGGAGCGGATTCTGAGAGCTGATCTTTCATCCACTCTGCTCTCGACTTGGCCTCATTCCTCTGTGTTTGGAAATGGGCCCAAATATTTGTTCCATCCATTAATGAAGACAGAGAATCAAATGGACCAAATGATTTCTTGAAGGATGAAAATTGTAAGAGAAGAAAAAGGAGAAAGACAGGGAGCAGTGGTCAAAAGCAGTCTCTGGCATCAGTGACTTAGCTGTGTGGCCTTGGACCAGGACCTACCCCTCTCTGTGTCTCAGTTTCTCTCTCTGCCAGATAGAAATAATAATAGCGCTCACTTCACGGGATTGTGTCAGATAGAAATAATAACAGCACTCACCTCCCGGGATTGTTCCGAGAACACTTACAGGGTTAATCTATGCAAAACACTTGTCATAGTGACTGATGCATAATGAGCTCTGCAGATGTATGAACTATTAGGCCCTCCTTCCTGTCAGCCACAGAAATTCATGGCAGGAAGCACTTTCCCACTTGTCTCAGAACCCAGGACAAGCAAAACAGTTAATGTTTATTGAGCATCTCCAGGGTACCCGAGTGCGGCCCTCAGCGTTATTTATATATGCGTTATCTCTTGAAGGAAGAAGAGATAGGGATTCATTATTCCCATTTAATAAGCAAGGAAATTGAGGATCAGAGAAGTTTCTGTTTACGCTTCAGCGGGCCAGATGCCCAGGTAGCTTTATAGCCCCCAGCATCTGGCTCGGGTCTAACCCCTGCACGGCTGCTCCTACCTTTACTCCTCTTTGGTTCAGATGGTGGGAGAGAGGCCGGAGCAATAGGACAGCAGGGAGGGTGTTTACCTTGCACGTGGCCGGCGGGGTTCAATTCCCAGCAATCCATATGGCTTCCGAGCACCGGCAGGAGGAATTTCCGAGTGCAGAGTCAAGAGTAACCCCTGAGCACTGCCGGGTGTGGCCCCACAACAAAAATAAAAATAGGTGATGGGCTAGCAGCATTGCAGTGGACAGCTCTGGGTGGATTTTGTTTTTGCTTTTTGGGTCACACCCGGCAATGCACAGGGTTCCTCCTGGCTCTTCACTCAGGAATTACTCCTGGCAGTGCTCAGGGGACCCTATGGGATGCCGGGAATCAAACCCGGGTCAGCCACAATCAAGGCAAATGCCTACCCGCTGTGCTATCGCTCCAGCCCCGGGAACTGGGTGGTTTTAGCATGCCAGGAGCACAGGGCGAACCAGTGCCTGCCTTCCTTGTGTGGATCCCTGCTCCCTGACCGTGCTCCTCCTCGCACCTCCAGACCTTTGCACAAGCGCCTTCTCTCTTCTGGAAGACAGCTCTTAAGATGCAGCTCAGATCTCCGAGCCCAGATTGGGTTCTGACCAAGGTTGGGGGTTGGGGAAGGAAGAGTAGAGGGTGCCACACTTACACTTGGGTCTGAGTCTGGACACGGTATGGGAAACGGGGTGCCCGAGAGCCACAAGGCAAGAAACCAGCCAGCCGACTTCGGAGGAAGAGAGAGTGATGGGAACCGTGAGACCTGGTGGATGGGAAAGAGATTTAGGGGAGAAAAATCACAGGAAGCGGAGGTGTGTTTGGATGTGACAGGAGGGAAACTGGGAGTCCTGGCTAGCTCGCGGGAGTTTGCTGGCTGACTGATGGAGGGACCCCGGGCAGGAACCCCTGGGACAGACGCTCTCCCACACCCTCCGTGGCTTCTGGAGTTAGAAGCACAGAAGTGGCAGCAAGGAGAAGGCCGGGCGTGGGCAGCGAGGCCAGCACCTTCGCCCTACGCCGGGGGAGGGGCGGGAGGTGGAGGGGTCAGGACGCCACGAGGGGGGCCGACTCTTGGCCACTTGGCCCGCAGCATCCTGGCCCCCGGCGGTGCAGCGGCCCTCCCAGCACCCGCAAGCCACTGGCTCGGCGCCGGCGTCTGGGGGCGCGGCCCCGCGGCCCGCCCCGTCCCAGCGCCCACCCCGCCCAGGACTTTGAGAGACTGGGCGGTGGCTCGGTCCAAACTCGGAGCTGGGGCATAGGGGCGGCTGGTGAGTCCCGGGGCCAGCGGGGTCTTCACCGCCGTGCACCTGCCGAGACGGGCCTGCCCTGATTCGCGGTCCATCGCCTGCCCTCCAACACCTCGGGCGGGACCTCAGCTGGGTCCCCCGCGCGTGAGCCTTGGGGAGAGGGGCGCGCGCTTGCCAGCCCAGCGCGGTGCCCGGTGAGTCCCGGGCGGGTGCGGGTGCGGGTGCGTGATGCTGCGTGGGCCGAGAGGCCGAACAGCGGCGGGCGGGGCAGAGTGGACCTGGGCGTGCGGGGCGGAAAGGGAGGGGGGTTGCGCGGGGCAGGGGAAGGATGCGGCGGGGTTCCACAACTTTTTTTTTCCCTTTGGCCCGTCCTGGAAGTAGCCGCGGCCGCGTCCCAGGGGGGCCCCCCACTGGCCCCGCCGGGCCCGAGGCGAGCGCGTGTGCCCGCGGGCGCCCCTCCCCCACTTCCGCCTCCTGCCTCTTCCTCGTTCCCGACTCCCAGGGCCCGTGGGTTCCCGGGGGAGCCGGCGGCGCAGCCCCACCCGCCCGGCGCGCCCCGCTCCCACGCCCCCGCCGCTCGCCGCGCGCCGCGCGGACGCAACTGACTCAGCCGGGCCGCGCGCGCCGCAGGTAGGGCCGGGCGGCCGGGGCGCAGGTGCCGCGGCGGGGGGCGGGGGCGCGGGGCCCCCCGGGGCGCGGGCGCGAGGGGAGCGGGGGTGCGCGCGCGCGCGTGTGTGCGCGCGTGTGTGTGTGCGCGCGCGCGCGCTCCGCCTCCCCCACTTCTCCCCTTCTCCTCCCCCCAACACCCCCCCTCCCCCAGAACGCGCCTTGTCCATTTTTAGGGAATTCTTTTGCTCCTGCTGACTTCAGGGCGGGTGGGGCAGAGGCCGAGAGGATGTCTGGATGTTGCTGCGCCACCCCTCACCCCCTCCAGCCGGGCCCCCTGACAGCCTCCAGCACCCCAATCTCTTCACCCCTCTCCCCGGCACCTTTAGTGCTGTAAACAACTCCCTGCCTCTCTCCGGCACCCCAGTGCCAAGCTCCCATCCCCCCCCCCGCCACTCTCTGTTCCTACCCCCCTCGAGTCAGTCTCCCAGGATGGATGATGGGGTGCAGAGGGAAGGGGCAGAGAGAGGGGGCGTCCCGGAGAGCCGGGGGTCCCGCAGCTCGCCGCCTGCCTGCGCTCCCTCCTCCGCCCGCTGCCCGAGCAGACGGCCCCAGGGGCCCGGGTATTTTTAGAGTTGTGACCTGGGCGGCCTAATGAATCGGCGTCAGCGCCTGCCTCCTCCACGGCCAGCCCGGTTCCCCCACACTTCCTGGGCCCCGGCCCTGGCGCGCTCCGGGGCTTTGCGGGGTCCCCGCGCGGGCGGAGCTGACCCGGGTCTCGGGTAGGCTGAGGGTAGATAGATGTGTGATTTTTTTTTAGGGGAGGGGGGCAGCGCGCTGAGGATGGAGATGTAGCTGGTCCCCAGGCCAGAGACCCTCCTCCCCTCCCCTCCCCTCCCCCGCCTGCCCCGGGGATGGACTCAGGAAGGAAACTGAGCGACGGGCAGTCGCTGCGTGCCGCCCAGGGGCTGGGCTGACCCGGAGCGCCGGCGTTCTGGAAAGCTCTGGGCACCCGGCTGGGTCGGACTCAGGGCCCGCCCCGCCAGTGCCTGCCCTCTGATTAGTAGGGGGGTGGGGGGTGGGGGGAATAGACTGTGAGAGGGGGTGGCGGAGACGCACAAGCGCGGAGCTGTGGGAGTTCGGAGAAGGGCCTGTAAATAGCCCATGTGTCAGCGTCTTGGTTTGACAGAGCAGCCTCGCCAGCGGGCCTGGACCCAGCCAGGTAGGGCGCTGAGGCCATGTTCAAAGGGGGGAGACTGAGGCCGGAGGGAGACTCGCTTAGGCACAACCTTGGCATCCCAGGATGTTGGAGGTTGGGGCAGGGATGGGGGCGAACCGGTGCTCCTGGGGTTTGGTGAGTGGGCAGGAAGGAGTTACAGCCTTAGAGGTAGAAGCCCGATCTCTGTGCTCTTCTCTTCCCTGGCCTGGTGGGGGGCAGGGGAAGCCTGGTCCAGTAAATAGGAGGAAAAGTGGCTCCCCACTGGCTTGGCCTGGACCAGTTCCTCCAACCCCTCCCCGGCAGAGCATCAGACTGAGCCGTGGTGTTGGCGGTGGGCCCTCAGCACAGAGGAGCCTCTTTCCCTGTGCCTGGTACTTGCGTACCCTTTGTGATGCTGGGGCCAGCTGGGCCCCTCCAGGACACTGGAAGTGGATGATAATGGACTTGGTTCCGGGGAAGGCACATGCGGAGAGCTCCGGGCTGACTCAGAGAACCCACGGTCGGGATGCTGAGTGCTTGTTGGGGTTTCTCCTCCCCTGCTCTGCCTCAGAGCTGTACCTGCGCTTCCCCCTCCAGGAGCCGATATGGACCCAAACCCCCGGGCAGCCCTGGAGCGCCAGCAGCTCCGCCTCCGGGAACGGCAGAAATTCTTTGAGGATATTTTACAGCCCGATGCAGAATTTGTCTTTCCTCTGTCACACCTGCATCTCGAGTCACACCGACGTAAGTCCCTGGTCCGGAGGGTTATAGGAAGGAAGCCTGATGTGTTCCAGGACCAGGGTGGGATAGGGAGGAAATCTTCTAGGGTTTGAATCTTGGGGTAGGGAGGAAATCTTAAGAGGGTCAGGAAACTTGTTAAGTTTTCGGCTCTGCTTTGTGACTTGGCTTCTCTTGGAATCTGTAGCCCCTATCGGTAGTATCTCGTCCATGGAAGTGAACGTGGATACGCTGGAGAATGTGGAATTCATTGACCTGGGGGATCCGGACGGAGCAGATGTGTTCTTGCCTTGTGAAGATCCCCCACCGACCCCGCAGACATCCGGTATGTTCCTCTCCTCGGGTCCGGGGAACCCACTAGCTGGAGCCGGATGTCAGAGGTCTGAGTGTGGCCGCGGGCTGGGCAGGGGGAAGTACATGCTGGTGGGGGGGTGGGGGCTGGAAGTGGGCGTCGCGCCCAGTGAATAGCTCTCTGTTCAGATTTTTGGGAAGTTGGATCTGTGGAGGAAACTGGGTGACCCAGCATCAGTTCTAAATTGTAGGCATGCCTAACTTCTCCGGCTTTTGCCCTTTTACACTTGGAAATTAATGTATCACTGTATCACTGTCATCCCCTTGTTTATCGATTTACTCGAGCGGGCGCCAGTAATGTCTCCATTCGTCCCAGCCCTGAGATTTTAGCAGCCTCTCCTTACTCATCTTTCCCAACGCTGCCATATTGGCGGCTCTTTCAGGGTCAGAAGAATGAGACCTGTTATGCTTACTGTTTTTGGCGTATCGAATACGCCACGGGTAGCTTGCCAGGCTTTGCCGTGGGAAATTAATGTAATTAGAATTATATATGATAGATAAAATTATGTGCAAATGTAGTTTTATTTTCCCCTGGAACTGGGCTGAAGCACATGCTTTGCCCGTGGGACACCCAGGTTCAACCCCCAACCGCCACATGATCCCAGGGCATCTCTGAGAATGACCTCTGAGCACCAAGGAAGGAGTAACCCTTGATGCAGTGGTGGTGGGATTGGGATATTGAATGTCTGTAACTAAACTGGTGACTTAATAAAGTTATAAACTAAAAAAAAAAAAGTAACCCTTGAGAACTGCTGGGGTTGGTTCCTCTCCTCCACCAAAACAAAGAGAATAAAAGAGACCCTAAATCCAGAAGGGTTTTTTGAGGATAAAAATCTGTGGTGCTTATAGAATACCTGCCCAGAAACTCCAGCAGTTTTAAATAAGAGCTTTCTAGGTCAGCATAAGGTTTTGGAATTAGCCCACAGCTGATTTGAACCAGCTTTTCTACTTTCTGGCTCTGACAACTTCTCTGTAAAGCTTGAGTTAATCTATGTCAAGTACATTAGCACTGTGTGCAAAATTTAATCAAGGCTTTCCCAAAAAAATGTTAATAGAACTGGGAGATAGGACATAACTAGATAGGCGCCTGACCCAGATGGAGCCAAATTAGATTCAGCACCTCCTGGTCCCCCAAGCACTGCCAGGAGCAACCCTGGAGCACCCCCAAGCACCTGCAGGGGTGGCCTCCACAATCCCCGACACTGCAGCACCTGACAAGCATCAGATCCTCGGGCCTTTGCATGGAACTATGGAATGGACTGGCCCAGTTATTCGAGGATTTCTGTTGGAGCCCTTGGGCCTCCTGAGCTTGACTTGGGAGTCCCCCCTGTACCCCCCCCCCAAAAAAAACAGTTAATAGTCTCTAGATGATTAAAACTGCTTACACTCATGAGAAATTATGCTTTGTCTTTCACTTCGGGGCCATACCAGGAACTACGTCCGGCCCAGTCTCCAACTTTCCACATACAGAGCATGCACTCCAGCCTCTAAACGGAATCCCCAAGATGGAAAGCAACCTCCCCAGAGCTACTGGGAGCAAGGCGGTGGCCTGAGTAGGACTTGAGAGGGCTAGAGAGATAGTTCAGTGGGCAGGGTGCTTGTCTTGCATGCAGCACATTTGGGTTTGACCCCCAGAACCCTGAATGGTCGCCAGAGCCCACCAGGAGGGATCCCTGAGTGCAGAGCCAGGAGTCAGCCCTGAGCACCATAGGGCGTGCCCTCCCCCCCCCCCCAAAATGTGGGGCTGGAGCGATTTCACAGTGGGTAGGGTGTTTGCCTTACACGTGGCCAACCTGGGTTTGATTCCCAGCATCCCATAGGGTCCCCTGAGCACTGCCAGGAGTAACTCCAGAGTGCAGAGCCAGAAGGAACCCCTGAGCATCGCTGGAGTGACCCAAAAAGAAAAAAATAAAGATAAAAACAAAAAACTGTAAAAAAAAAGACAGGACTTGTGCTCCTGGGTTGAACTATGATGGCAGAGGTCAGACTGAGTGTAGGCAAGTGGGCAGAGCTGGCATTTGGAGAGCTAACTGTATGCTGGACTGGCCAAAATACTCGGGGAACGTGCTGGCTCCTCTCTGGACTCCAGCCTTCCCCGGCCAGCCCCTCTTCAAGACAGCTTCAATCGTACCCTACACCCTAACGAGCTCTTCTCTCTGGGCAGGGGTGGACGAGCATGCAGAAGGGCGGAGCCTACCCATGTCCACGCCAGACAGGACCACGTCGTCCCGCTCCTCCTCTTCATCCTCCGACTCCTCCACCAACCTGCACAGCCCAAATCCCAGCGACGGCGGCGCAGACACGCCCTTGGCACAGTCCGACGAGGAGGAGGAGGACGAGGATGCTGGCGAGGCAGAGCCTGGAGCCTGCAGCTAGCAGTGGGCCCCCCCGACGGACGGCCTGAGCTGGCTCTCCTCCACTTGAGACCGTGGAGGGCCCAGCCGGGCACTGTGGAAAAGAGCAGACTTTCCCCCCGTCCCCCGAAGTGGGCCCCAGAGGAAGGTGGGCCGGCCGGCAGGCCACTCTGGGAATCGACCCTCTCCTCCTCCTCTCCCGCTAACCTGGGCCTGCGGTAACCCTCCCAACCCGTTTCCGGCTGATTTCCTAGGGTAGGGCTGGCGAGTGGAGATGGGAGATGAGGTCGGACAGGATGCCACTGCTTTCCTTAGCACCCGCCCTCCCTCACCCCCCTGCCACTTTCTCAGAGCCTCCTGGACTGGTGTGTCTGAATGGACATGGCATTCCAGGGGAGAGGTACTCCAGCATCCTGCTTCCGTAATCCTTTTTATTCTGAACAGGGCACGGTGTCAATAATAAACAACAGTCCACCTGCCCCTCCACTCTATATGTCTCCCATTGCATGGTGTCATACCCTCCATACCATATTTCTTTTTCTTTCTTTCTTTCTTTCTTTCTTTCTTTCTTTCTTTCTTCCTTCCTTCCTTCCTTCCTTTTTTTTCTTTTTTCTTTTTGCTTTTTGGGTCACACCTGACGATGCTCAGGGGTTACTCCTGGCTCTGCACTCAGGAATTACTCCTGGCGGTGCTCGGGGGACCCTATGGGATGCTGGGAATCGGACCCAGGTCGATCACGTACAAGGCAAACGCCCTACCCACTGTGCTATCACTCTAGCCCCACTCCATATTTCTTTAGCTTTCTAACCAGCACCCCCTCTCTCTCACTCGCTCACTCCATCTGTGCTGGGCCTTTGAATACAGGTTTGAACAGGACAGGGGACAGCCCCGTCTCGGTGGAGTTTATTGTATCGATGGGGGTGGGGATGGAGCGATCGGTTAAATTACCACGGGACACTGTGTAATAAATAACATGACAAGGAACTCCTCTGGTTTCCGAAAAATAGCGGCTTCACCTTACTTGTACAGTCTCTGAGGACCTGATTTTTGAAGCTAAGATCTAAGGGCTGAGTGGGCGTGAGCCAGGTGGGGGCTGTAATCTGAGCAGAAAAAGCAATTTGGAAAGACTTGAAATGGAGAGAACATTGCCCCGAGGAACTGAAAACCACCCAGCTTGGTAGAAGTGACAGGAAATGTTGGATTTATCAAAGGTTAAGTCCTGACATGCTTGAAGTCGCTATCTGGTTTCAACCTGTGTACCAGTGACTTGGATATAAACCAGCGGTGGGGCCCAGAGAGATGAACAGGGTTTAAGGTTTTTGCCTGACCTGATGTGTGCCGGACCCCAGTTTGATCCCTGACATCACCTGTGTTCCCCTGCCCCTACCCCAGAACCTCTTCCCCAAAAGTTATGAATTAGAGGTTCCCAAACTTACCTGGTTTGCCACCCCCTTTTTAGGGAAAAGAAATCACTCACTACCACCCTGAAAATCTGTTTTTCAAAGCGAACAAACAGAACCCTCACCCCAGTTGCACCAGAGGCGACTACCTCTCCCAAGATTTTCCTTTTTTCTCTCTCTCTCTCCTGGTTTTTGGGTCCCACTGGTTGTGCTCAGGCTCTCTCCTGGCTCTGTACTCAGGGGACCAAATATGGTGTCAGAGATCTAACTGGGGACAAGGCCCACAGAAGTAGCCTCACGACCCAGCTCAAGCAGTTAGGAAAAAAGCCAACGGAAAGGACCCAAGGAAACAGGAGGAAGTAATAAAACTTAGAGCTGAAATGAACAAAACGGAAATGGAACTGGGAATAGCCGGGTCAAGGCACGTACTGTAACCCCTCTGCTAGCTCTCCGGCCCCAAATCTGGATTTTTCCAGTGTCTCCCTACCCCAGGGATCAGTGTCTCCATTTTGGGAAAGACTGATTGTAACTTCCTCATATGGAAGAATTCCCAAGTGCAGGACTACGTGACCGCTCCACAGGTACGGGATGACCTGGGCTCTTGGGAGTCCTTTTTGCTCAGCCATCCTCGGTTCATGGCTTTAATTCTCTCATGAGTCAAGTCTGAAGAATGCTGCTACTGCCCAGGTCATTGTGCCCTTGGAACTAGCACAAAGTAGAAACAGAAATGGGGACCAGCCAGAATAGACCAGTCAGCTATCGACTCTCACTGCAAGGAGCATTATTTTTTAATGCTCCAAGTAGCATCCACTTTGATTTCCTTGACCATTACTTACTAGCCCAAGAAATGTTTCCCTTACAGATGAAATGTCCTCATGTTTTTACCAACACGAGGACACAGCAATATCTTAGAAGAAAGGGAACTCTGGCCTTTGGAAGTACACTAACTCTTTCCTTTCAAGTTACTGAATTCTGCTTCTTGATTTCCTGGCTGCCTGTCAAAGCTCTGAGAAGTGCCCCCATCACCGGGGAGGCTGGGATAATCCCCGAGTGGGGTACATGGTGTGTGAATAAAATCAGGGTTAAATTACTAAGGAATAAGAAAGGGACCAGAATCTTGGGTATACACAAAAATTTATTAGTGAGAGGCCACACGAACTAATTTGAACTTTATTGGTAGTAAAGATGGATTACAAATGATTGCATCACTTGCACTTGGTTGTTGAAAAAGATCATTTTGGCTGCAGTTCAGAGAATATGCTGGAAGAAGCAAGCTCAAGACAGAAAAAAAAAGCCCCCACCCAAGAAAATAGTTCGCCAGAAAAGAGTGATAATGGTCGGTCTAATTGGGTTGAGGCAGGTATAAACAACTAAATTACATTTATTCAACAAATTAACTAGGGTGGGGAATTTGGGCTCACACCTAGTGGTACTCTGGGTTTACTCCTGCTGGTGTTCCAGGATACCTGCCGAGCCAGGGCTGGAACCAGGGTTGGCCACATTCAAGGCCTTACACCCTGTACTGGGCTGGAGCGATAGCACAGCGGTAGGGCATTTGCCTTGTACGCAGTCAACATGGTCGACCTGAGTTTGATTCCTCCACCCCTCTCGAAGAGCCCGGCAAGCTACCGAGAGTATCTCGTCCGCACGGCAGAGCCTGGCAAGCTACCCGTGACGTATTCGATATGCCAAACACAGTAACAACAAAGTCTCCAATGGAGACGTTACTGGGCCCGCTCGAGCAAATCGATGAGCAACGGGAGGACAGGACAGGACAGGACAGGACAGGACACCCTGTACTAACTTTTCAGCAAACAAGAAATACGGTGGTGTACACTACACATAACACACCAAGCATAGCTTTAGGGTTGTGGTAGGGGGAAAAAAAGGGGTGTGTGGAGACACACAAACACACACACACACACACACACACACACACCACATACTGAAACCCTAACCAAGGGAGTGGCTAAATGTAAAATTGTCAACTGTGACTAGTGGTAGGAAGCTAGGAAGGAGTTAATAGCCTCTTTAGAGACATGAGGTCATTCCCTTGAGGAAGAAGCATTTGAGTTGAGATCTGAAGGATGAGTAGGAGTCAGCTAGGGAAGATGACTGGCAGGTTCCTTGTAGAATCTTCATTGCAGGGCCCCAGAGTAGATGCCTGGAAGCCAGGAAAAGATTAGGTCACAGAAACAGGAGTTCATGCCTAGGATGCAAGGGAAGGTGTAGGAGCTGTAGAAAAGTCGAAGGGATCAAGAAATATTCTGGAGGTAAATCTCCAGTGGTTTAATGGAAGGGTCCGAGAGAGAAAGAGGTCAAGGGTGCTACCATGAATTTTAACTTACAGAGCAGGGTGGTGACCCAGAAGAGTTCTTCATTCTGATGGACTTCAGGAGAGAATCCGATTCAAGAAAGTCATAGATTTGGTTCTTTGTTGAGTTCGAGGTGCTTTGGGGACATCCAAGAAGCCATGGTGGGTAGACACACAGATCCATGAGTGTGGGATTTTGAGGAGAGGCTGTGGCTGGAAAAATAAACAGTTGAGTTCTCAGTGTGTAGGCGGTAAGTGAAACCATGGCTGTGCATGAGATTTCCCAGGCAGGAAGGGTGAGCGGAGCGGGGAGTTATTGGACCCAACGCTAAGAAATAGAAAATTCAATTCTCATATTAGAAAAGAAAACCCCACGGCCCTTCATATCAAACACTGTCCCTGGGATCAGTGGCCGTCAGCCACAACCCCCAAAGCTCTTTGTGCCGGGGTAGCTGAGTGACAGTGCTTCAAGTCTTCCCATAGTTTCATCCCCTTCACCCCTGCAGGAGGCCACCATAAGTGACAGTTTTTAAGTTCTTTCACTAGTGAGAAACTTGTGGGAGTTTTGTGCTCCTTTTGTCTAAAAGCTTGTGTGCCCAGCAGTGCTGGGATGTGCGGGTGTGTGTGTCAGGGTGGTGGTGGTGGTGGCGGGGGGGTGTGAACCAGTGGCACCCAGCAGTGAACTGCAGACCTCTGCACGCTGGGCATGGACTCCCACTTTTGATTTATCTCCCCATCCCTCTCCCTTCCTTTGGAATAACAAAACCTTCTGGCCTGAAGCTCTGCAAAACTTGTTGGCCCTGGGATCACCTGTCTACTTCCCTCCATAGTGATTGAGTGATGTGTAGAGCTGAACTAGTTCTGTCACTGTCCCATGAACTGGAGGCTAACCTGTGTTGTAAAGGGCAGGAACTGTGCCTGGGGAGAGGAAGATACGGGCCTGTGAAGAGGAAGAATTGTTTATGGATCTAGGGACGACTTCAGTTGAGCTGCCATGAGCCTCAAGCCCTGCCTGGTGGGAGGTGTCTAAGAGCAGCTGAGACCCCCAGGACCACTTCCTCGTTGGACAATGGCCTCTCCTTTTCCCAAGCCATAGGGACTTGGCTGGCCTTTAGGGCCAGTATCTCCAACTGACTTCACCCTCGCCGCCTCCCCCCCCACCCCCACTCACACACACACACACTCCGCAGGCCACAAAGTGCCCTTAGAGATGGGAGAATAATTTGGAGCCAATTCTGAGGCAAGGAGCCCAGCTTTTGGGTTCCAAAGCCACAGTGTGGCTTCTGTGTGTTGCAGAACTTGTCAGGGAGTGGATTTCCTGACAGATTCTGTACAAATTTATCCGGAGCATCCTACAGGACAAGAAGACAAACTCATCCTATAGAACCCAAGACTGTGGAGGAAAGAGGCGGGACCTGTTTCCTCGGGGAAACATTCCCTAGAAGATTCTCACAGGAGCGGGTCCCTCTGCGAAAAGAGTGACAGGGTGGGAATTGGACTCTGCTGTTGTTGTTTTGGGTGCCTGTTCTCCACTTGCCTCCCCCATGGAAATGCTCGGGGGACTTACCGCTCTTCCGGAACCAGACATGGCCGCAGAGAATGGAAAATGGAATGCAGGATGGAGCGGAAGTGTAAGGAGGACTGTAGTGTCTCACAGAGGGACAAGAGATGCTTTCTCTGCAGGCTACTGGATCTGGATTAATGGAGAGGTTCCCCCCCCCCCCCAAGTTTCATTTCAAGGGAACATAAGCATTGAAATACAAAAATAAGGGCCAGATAGTACAGCGAGTAAGACATTTGCCTTGCATGCAGCAGACCCAGGTTTGATCTCTGGCACCTCACATATTCCCCAAGCCATGTCAGGAGTGATCCCTGAGTGCAGAGCCAGGAGTAAGCCCTGAGCACCACTGGGGGTGGTCCCCAGACAAACAAACAAAAACTCATACTCATGATGGTAGCCACCTTTTACTTCATGTTTTGGAAGGAGTCACATCCAGTGGTGCTTAAGGCTTACTCCCGCCTCTGCTCTTACTCCTGGTTGGGCTCGGGAGACAATGTGTGGTGTCAGGGATTGAACCCAGGTTGACTGCATACAAGGCAAGTGCCCTACCTGCTGGACTATCTCTCCGGCCCTTGCGGCCACCGTTTAAAAGAAAGTTGAGTCAATTGTGTAAGCTCTTAGTCTTGACCCCATCTTTCACTGATCTTACGCCGGTTTTTGTACTCCAGCTTTGTAGATGTTAAATGGAGATAATCATTCCGAAAGAATTATTTGAATAAAAGCAATGTTACTAAGTACTTACTGTGTTCTGGATCCTATGTGTACATAAATTCTTATAATAATAGAATTTGGCTTATCTATTTTACAGATGTAGACAAGTGACAGGACCATTCAGATACATAAGGATTAATGTCTGCTTTGGAGTCTGAACTCATATCTGCCTGTTAGCTTAAGGTTTTCTATTCCATGTCTGTGGGGCAGAACAGTGGGTATAAGGAGAACGAGGGCATCATGAAATAGACATATTTTTGATACTTCCTCTTTGGTTGAGGTATATCTTGGCAAACCTTCCTAAATCCATATATAGCACTTCATAAAAGTATAGTTTTTACCAAGAGACTGTGCACAGAAATACTTGCTGAATATGATCCCCACAGGGCAGGTGAAAAAGCCCAAGCAGGAATTTAACATTTGAACTATACATCTCACTAATAAAAAAAGGTATGCAACCCAGTAAAAAGGAGGTAGTTGCGAAACATTTTCCTCATCTCCTAATCATCTTTAGAAAAGAAAATATGTGGCCAGTAAACACAAAAAATTGCTCAACATCATTAGGCACCAGGAAAATGCAAATGAAAACCACAAGATACCGCTACAATACACACCCACATGGCTAGAATTAAAAAAAAAAATATTGTCTGGGGCATGGAACAGCCAGAACTCCGATACAACATTGGTATGAGAATAAAATAATACAGTTGGGGGCACTGTAGCAGTGTAGCACTGTCCTCCCGTTGTTCATCGATTTGCTCGAGCGGGCACCAGTCACATCTCACAACAAACTGTGAGACTTGTTGTTACTGTTTTTGGCATACCGAATACGTCATGGGTAGCTTGCCAGGCTTTGCGCTGTGTGGGCGAGATACTCTCAGTAGCTTGCAGTTGGGGGCAAACTATGGTAATTTTCTTTTTTTTGGGTCACACCAGGCAATGCTCAGGGGTTACTCCTGGCTTTACACTCAGGAATTACTCCTGGCTCAGGAGACCATAAGAGATGCTGGGAATCGAACCCGGGTTGGCCGCGTGCAAGGCAAATGCCCTACTGGCTGTACTATCACTCCAGCCCAAAGTATGGTAATTCTTACAAAATTAAGCAAGAACTTAACTCTTTGACCATTCCTAAATATCTATCCCAGGGAAATTGTAAACATATGTGTGCTGAGTACTTTGTACAGAAGACTACTAACTGCAGATGTGAGCGCCCTCAGGATCTGACAGGTGAGTGGATGATAGTATATTCACAGACAGTAGGAGTAACAGAAAACTGAACACAAGCAAGATGCAAGAACAGGGATGATTCTCAAAAACACTCTTCCCATGAAAGAAGCTTACCCCGAAAGTATACACACACTAACGAGAGTTTAATTATATGAAACTCTAGGAGAAATTATTTTGTATGGAAAAACAGGACAATGTTTGCTGCACAAAGGTGACAAGGAAGGAAGCGTTAGTCAACTTTCTAGGCTTTCAGGAATGATCTATTTGGCTGGAGCGATAGCACAGCAGTAGGGCGTTTGCCTTGTGTGCAGCTGAGTCGGGTTCGATTTCTCTGCCCCTCTCGGAGAGCCTGGCAAACTACCAAGAGTATCTCGCCCACACGCCAAAGCCTGGCAAGGTACCCATAACGTATTCAATATGCCAAACACAGTAACAACAAGTCTCAAAATGGAGACATTACTGGGCCCGCTTGAGCAAATCCACGAACAATGGGAGGACAGTGTGTAAATGTGGACTTTGGTTTTACATACATTGTGCATTGTCAGATGCACTGAATGTGGACTTGACATTTGTGCAGGTCACTACATGCAATTTTTCACAGGAAAAAAAAAAGAGTGTGTGTGTGTGTGTGTGTGTGTGTGTGTGTAAGCAAATACTAAACTAGTAATTTGCATGCTGGGACTTTGAAAGGCATCAATCAAAATGAATGCAGGGTTCATTCAGACACACCCTCAGAGATTAAAAAAAGTACTCTACACTCTTACTTGATTTTATTAAGAGGGGCGCTGAGTGTCAGTCCCACGGGGCTATGTAAGGGGCTCTCCCCTGGGTTTTGGAGACCATAAAGGAGGGTCGCCTCAGTCCTTTGAACTACCCTTCCTGCCCAAATGCATGGGTTGGTTTACAGATATGTGAGAAGCAAGTACAATCAACACATTAGTGGTAGCATCTTGGTGATGGGGCAACATGTTCCTTTAACAGGTGCTCATTTTTTCACTGCTGCTATATATTGTAAAATTTTGAATAACAAAAAAACAAAGGGGAGCGGGAGCGATAGTACAAACACCAGGGCCTTTACCTTACCCAAGGCCGACCCAGGTTCATCCCCGGGATCCCAGAGGATTCCCCAGAGGCCACCAGGAGTAAGCCCTGAGCATCACCAGATGTGGTGGAAAAAACAACAACAACAAAAATGAACAAGAAACCCCAAAAACCACAACCAAACCAACCAACAAACAAAAAAAGTAAATATGCAGTGGGGGCTTGGGGTGGGGATCTTTAGCAAAGCTTTGCCCGCCCCCTCCCAGGTGCGAGGCTAGATTCAGCCGGGAAGTGTGATGGGGACGGGAGCCCAGCTGGGGGTCCTCCCGGAGCACTTTCCAGTCTGTTTCCCCAACCATCTCCACGGTGATGACGACGCTCAGTCTTAACTCCGTCTCGTGGGTGAGAGAGAACGCCTCTCAAAAGGGACACTGTCCACTCTCTGGCCCCGGGTCTCGCAAGCGGCCGCCCCGCCCTTCGGGCTCTCTCGCGCCCGCCCCCCAGCGGTCCCGGGAGCCTCCCCGTGCTTCCGGGACGGCCCCGGAAGTCATTTCTCAAGCGCGCTTCCTATTGGACGTTGGCTGCGAAGGGGGCGGGCTGCGTCGGGAGGCGGAAGCAGCCGCAGGCATGGCGGCGGCCGTGCGGCTGGTCCTCCCGCTGCTCCTGCTGCTGCTGCTGCTGCTGCTCCTGGGACCCGGCGGGGGTCGAGCGGAGCCCCCGCGCGACAGCCTGCGGGAGGAGCTGGTCATCACCCCGCTGCCTTCTGGAGACGTCGCCGCCACGTTCCAGTTTCGCACGCGCTGGGATTCGGACCTGCAGCGGGAAGAAGGTGAGGAGACAGGAGGAAGAAAACCCCGGGAACCTGCTAGGGGTGGGTGGGGAGTGGGGAGCCCACCCGTGGGAGGGGTTCTGGCCCCTTCGCATCGGCGGTGAAATTGGGTCCCCCCCGGAGCTGGGCAGAGGCCTCGTGCTTCCTGGTGCTTTATGCAAAGACCCCGCTGCAACCTGAGACCTCCGGATCCTGCGGTAAAGATGGTTTTAGCGGTTACCTTGTATCCCACCTGCTGGGCACAGTGCAGGGTTCTTTGAATGCTTACAGGGAAGGAACGAGAGGTAAAAGGCCTTACCGCACCTCTGCCAGGTGACAGTCTGATGTGGCAAGCAGATCTCTTTGACTCCCAAGTTCTGGCTGGAGTCTCTTGTCAAAGATCCCAAGAGTGCTGGGTCTGTTGTTTCTGGGGGAGAGGGGGAGGTGGCTGAGAGCACCCCCTCCAGGATCTTCACTCATCTACTGCCCCCTTTTCTCCAGTGTCTCATTATAGGCTCTTCCCCAAAGCCCTGGGACAGTTGATCTCCAAGTATTCTCTGCGAGAGCTGCACCTGTCATTCACGCAAGGCTTCTGGAGGACGCGGTACTGGGGGCCACCCTTCCTGCAGGCCCCTTCGGGTGCGGAGCTCTGGGCCTGGTTCCAGGACACCGTCACTGAGTGAGTGCCCACCTTGCAGCCTGTTTATTGGCCGTGAAGGGGAAGTGATGGAGAGAGGCCTTGCCAGCCGGCCTCTGTCCTTAGGGACAGCAGTTCACGCAGGAGCAATTCCACGTGGGTACAGAGAGTGTTGGGAGTAAGAAATGGACTCTGAGTAATGGTCTTTGCTTGGCTGAATATGCTTCATTTTCCTTAACACTCTCAGACCTGAGGTAGCACACAATTCTCTCTGCAGAGGCAGAGAGCATAATGTTGTGGCTTCGAGGCCGTAGAAAATGAGCTCGCTGGATAACCCTTTAGAAAGACCTTTCTTCACATAATCATATCATAAAGACCAAACTAAACGTCCATAGCCTCCCATTGGCCTACGAGATGCTGGGTCTTCAGAGAAGAGGACTTGCTTTTGTTCGGGAGAAGAGCATGTCTAGGTCTTGACGTGGAGCCGTAATTCACTTACTTCGACTATGAAATCACAGTATGACTTTATTTATTTTGTTTTGGGACCACATCCAGCTGGGCTCAGGGCTTATTCCTGTCTCTGCACCCAGGGATCACTCCTGGTGGGCTTGGGGAACCTTGTAGGGCTTTGGGAATCGAACCCAGGTCAGCTGCATGCAAGGCAAGAACCCTACCTGCTGTCCTATCTCTCCAGTCCCATGGTTTAAAAAAAAAATTCTGGGGCATTAGTAAGGGTAGCAAGGATGGCCATAGGATTGAGAACCTCAGGGGACAGTTCTACTTGGCCCCTATGGAATTCTGTTGTGTAGGAAGAGAGAGCTTTCTGCCATCAGTTCCTCTTTAATTTTTCTTTTCTTTTCGGGGCATTGGAGATGGGGTTGGTGGCAGACCTGGTAGTGCCCAGGGATGCTCCTGATTCTGCTTGGGACTTGTTCTTGCAGTGCTCAGGGGACCATGTGGTATGCTGGGGATTGAATCTGGGTCTTCTGCATGCAAAGCCTGCACTCCGTCTGTTGAGTTTCCCCTTTAGCCCTGATACTCTCATTTCCCAAGAGCTGCGTAAATCTGAATCTAATTAACTCATAGTTTGGCAGTGCTCAGGGCTTACTCCTGGCTCTGCACTCAGGAATCACTCCTGGTGGTGCTCAGGATACCTTATGGGGTGCCGGAATTCAAACTGGGATCTGCTGCATGCAAGGCGAGCACCTAACCCCCGTTACTATTTCTCCAGCCCCTAAGTCTGAATTTAAATGTGAAAATTGGAAAATTTTAAGTACCAGCCAGTTACTGATACATGTTTTTCGTTTGTGTTCTGGGAATACATCTGGTGATGCTCACGGCTTATTCCTGGCTCTCTGTGCTCAAGGATCACTCCTGGCAGGGACCACATAGGGTGATGGGCTTCAAACCAGAGTTGGCCGTGTGTAAGGCAAATGTTCTACCTGCTAAATTGTCACTCCAGTCCCTAGTTAGACCTGTGGATTGGTTTTGTGTGGGGTGTATATCATATGAAACATGATGGCCAGGGATGGGACTCACTGGTGGAACACTGGCTTTGCACGCAGTCCAGAGTGATCCTGGGCAGAGCAAAAAAGACTAACATAGGTAATCTCACAGCTTCTATAGATTTGAACATTTTTGTTTGAAAAACAAAACATGGCTATGAATTGGATAGCGCTCTCAGACATCAAGTTTGCTGTCTTTGAGCTGTAAGGGTTGGCATGACTGGAATCTCAGGACCCCCCAGGATAGCGTTCAGGAGATTCAGATGAGGAAGCAGCGACCCGCAGACCTTCTGGTCTGAATTCTCTCTCCCATGCCCTTTTCTCTCTTCTCTACTCCCACTTTTTCCTCAGTTCAGGTATGCCGGATTCGGAACCGGTGTTTGGGATGCTAATTGTTTGCAGCCTGTTATTCATAGAGAACAAATCTGTTTTGCTCTGTCTCTTATAAGAATTTGGATGAAAGCATGTTTACCGTTTTCCCTGGTTTGGTTAGCCTGTGTAAACATCAGAACCCCCTACCTGAGGCTAGAACCAGGACCAACCGTCCCACCCAGGACTTGACCAGGGAACTGCCTGAGTGAGGAGAGAGCAGGGCTGGACTGCTTCATGGGGTACGCACAGAGGTGGCCCGGTTTGCTCCCACTCCTTGGTTCACTCCCAGCCGGGAGCATCCCAGAGAGCAACTGGCTGAGCGGAGGGTGGCTGCCCAGGAGTCTGGGATTGGAGAGGGCCAGGGGTGGGAGTCGGGGATTCCTGGGCAAAGGTTTGGGGGTGCCAGGTTTCCCAGAGCAGCGGGAGGAAGAAGGTCCCGGGAGGTAAGTGGAGCAGTGATGCCCCCCGGCCGCATCCCCGGCCAGTGTGATGGCTCGCCTGCCGACTCTGGGCCGTGAGGGATGGTGAGCGGGTGTGTGTCTCCCCGCAGCGTGGATAAGTCTTGGCAGGAGCTTAGCAACGTCCTCTCCGGGATCTTCTGCGCCTCTCTCAACTTCATCGACTCCACCAACACCGTCACTCCCACGGCTTCCTTCAAACCGCTGGGACTGGCCAACGGTGAGTGCCCCAGCCCCTGCTTTACTTCCGGTGTCCTCGCCCCTGAGTCTGCCCCGTTGCCCTCCCAGCTCCCCCGAACTGTGCTGTGTCGTCGTCATTGTCGTCATGTCGCTGGGAGACCAGTGGGACTGGGTCCGATGCAGTTAGAGTGTGTGTATGTGTGTGTGTGTGGGGGGGGTGGGGAATTGCCCCTGTCTCGCTTGTGGGTCCACCCCAGGCTGACCCTGTCCCCCTCAGACACTGACCACTACTTCCTGCGCTACGCTGTGCTGCCGCGGGAGGTCGTCTGCACGGAGAACCTCACCCCCTGGAAGAAGCTCTTGCCCTGTAGCTCCAAGGTGAGGCCAAGCGGGGCCGGAGCCGGAAGTTGCCTCCTCGTTGCCCGATGGGCTGACAGGTCATCTCTGCAGGGTCCTGACAGCGTCTCTCTTGCCGCCCCCTCCAGGCAGGCCTCTCGGTGCTGCTAAAGGCTGACCACTTGTTCCACACTAGTTACCACTCGCAGGCTGTGCATATCCGCCCCATCTGCAGAGTAAGTTGTGGAAAGGGGCGTGGGTACGCTGTGGAGGGGCTCGGAGAGAGGGCAGCACCTGTGCCACGGGGCCAGGGCCAGCAGGCAGTGGCAGCCGTGATGACCAGTGTCCAGGGCACTGGCCGCGCCCCGGAGGAAACGGAGTGGCGGCCTGGCTGTGGCTCAGTGAGTCTTTGCTGTGGCCCTGAAACGGGGCTGGGCCAGGATGGCGGCCAGCTGGCAGGTCCTCGAATGAATCATTTTTGTTCCCCCCGGCCTGGTTTCCTCCTCCGTGAAGGAGAATAATGGCATCAGCTCAGGGTTGCTGGGGCGCAGGGAGGCAGAGCCGGCCGAGGCTGTGTGGTAGGGGCCGGCCTCACTGCCGTGTCTCCTTGGGTAGGATGCCCGCTGCACCCGTGTCTCCTGGGAGCTGCGACAGACTCTCTCCGTGGTCTTTGATGCCTTCATCACTGGCAAAGGGAAGAAAGGTCAGCTGCCTTGGTGGCCCTCCTCACAGGGCCGTTCCCCCTCCGCCACCCCCCGCTGCCCCCAGAGCCTGGGAGACCCTGGCCTCACCCCAGCTCACAGCTCAGCTCCACTCTCTGCCCCCAGACTGGTCCCTCTTCCGGATGTTCTCCCGGACCCTCACAGAGCCCTGCCCCCTGGCCGCAGAGAGCCGCGTCTACGTGGACATCACCAGCTACGGCCAGGTACCCGGCCTCCCGCCTCTCATTGCCCTGCCCCCGGGCCGGCCAGAGGGGCACCCCTGTCCACTTCTCAACCCTGCCCTGGTGTCCTCAGGACAACGAGACCCTGGAGGTGAGCCCGACCCCCACCTCCACCTACCAAGACGTCATCCTGGGCACCCGGAAGACCTACGCTGTCTACGACTTGCTGGACGCGGCCACAATCAACAGCTCCCGCAACCTCAACCTGCAGCTCAAGTGGAAGAGGCCCCTGGAGAATGGTGGGTGGGGGCTCCCCCTCCCCGGACTCACTGGGCTTCTAACTTTTTTTTTTTTTAAAAAGGGGGTGGGATGGAGTGATAGCACCGCGGATGGGGCATTTGCCTTGCATGCGGCCGACCTGGGTTCGATTCCCGGCATCCCATATGGTCCCCTGAGCACTGCCAGGCGTAATTCCTGAATGCAGAGCCAGGAGTAACCCCTGTGCATCACCGGCTGTGACCCAAAAAGAAAAAAAAAATGTTTTGGGCTTCACCAGGCTCAGTGCTCAGGGGTTGCCCCCAGTGGTGCTCAGGAAACCCTGTGGTGTCCAGGTTCAACCCGGGCCCTGTGCTCTAGTCCTGCGGTGCTTCTCCCCGAGACCACCAGGTCTATTTAGGTTCCAGATCTTGTCAGAGGTCCTGGTTCCTGTTCCCTGCTGCCCGGTCTGGGAAGGTGCCTGCGAATAGATGCCTCTTGCCCAGAAAACTCAAAGAGTTGGTCCAGGCATACTTGGAGCCCACAGCTCCCGTTTGGAGCCCTGTGCTCAGGAAGCTACTTGTCTGCTGGTCGGAGGCTTCCAGCCTTTCATGGTGACCATGCTCTGCATTGCCCACGCCGGGCGCATGGCCCCCGCCCCTAGGAGGTGTCCCCCCTCACCTCCCCCACCCCTCGTTGTTGGCAGGGGCGGAGGGGCGGATCTCGGCATCTGTGGATGCACTGGGGTCGCCGTGGGTGGGGTGGCAGGGAGGGGCGAAGCCCTGCCGCTCCCCCCTCCCCTTCCCCGGGAATGAGTCACCGAGGCCGGCTTGTCTCTCGCAGAGGCGCCCCCAGTGCCCTTCCTGCACGCGCAGCGGTACGTGAGCGGCTACGGGCTGCAGAGCGGGGAGCTGAACACGCTGCTGCACAACACGCACCCGTACCGCGCCTTTCCCGTGCTGCTGCTGGACACCGTGCCCTGGTACCTGCGGCTGTACGTGCACACCCTCACCATCACCTCCAAGGGCAAGGAGAACAAGCCAAGTGAGAGCCAGCCCCTTCCCCGCCCTGCCCCTCCGTACCCCTGCTCCTCCAAACCCCGCCCCTCCCCTCCCCTCCCCGCCCCATCCCATCTGGTTCTCAGGGTGGTTCCTGCAGTGCCCCTGGGATGCTGCCCTAGCACAGATGCAAGCCCCGGCTGCACCGAGAGAAAGGGGAGCCTCCCCGCGGCAGAGGCGGGAGTCAGTTTGTGAAGGGGAAATAGTTAAGGGATCCAGCTAGCGAGTCTTACTAGGATGGGACTAGGGGGGTGTTCTGGAATCTCTTTACACCTCCTTTGCCTTTCTTCCTGGGGTTACAGGGCGCATCCTTTTGTGATAATCCTAAGGACTCCCCTCTCACCCCTGACCTGCTCCCCCCACCCCGAAAAAGGATTGGCCAGCAGAGCAGCTTGGGAGCAAAGTAGGTGGAGGTGGTTTTTGCTCTGGAGGGGCAGTATTGTTGGTTTTTTTTTTTTTTTTTTTGCTTTTTGAGTCACACCCGGCGATGCACAGGGGTTACTCCTGGCTCTCCACTCAGGAATCACCCCTGGCGGTGCTCAGGGGACCATATGGGATGCTGGGAATCGAATCCAGGTCGGCCGCTTGCAACGCAAGCGCCCTACCCAGCTGTGCTATTGCTCCAGCCCTGGGGCAGTGTTTTTTAAATCTCAGCCCCTGCTTTCCCTCTGTACCTGCGTTCCTGGGATGCCCCCATGTATCACTGAGCTTTGTCTCCAGCCCAAGTGTGTTTTCTGTCCTTTTCTGGCCTCTGAAGAGCGACCAATACATTTTTTTTTTAATTTTTATTAGTGAAACAGCATGAGCTACAGTTGTAGACTTACAAATTTTTGTGCTTGGGACCAATACTTTTGAGTGCTTCGTTGTTGTTACTGCTTTTGGTTTTTTGTTTTCTTTTTTGGGTCACACCCGGCAATGCTCAAGGGTTCTTTTGGCTCTGTGCTCAGGAATGTCTCCTGGCGGTGCTTGGGGGGCCATCTGGAAGCCGGGGAACAAACCCAGGTGGGCTGCCTGCAAGACAAACGCCCTCTCTGCTGGACTATCGCTCTGGCCCCTTGAGTGCTTTTTTTTTCAGTGCCAGACATAGCACTAAGCACTTGTTTTCCCAGGGGCCGGACGGAGCCTGGTAATAAGGAGAAAAGTGTCCGAGGAAGAGCCAACAGCACATCCCAGTGGCCAGACAGCCCCACCTCCCCCCACCCCCCACTGTGTCATGTCTTCATCCCACTTCTTGTTCTGTTCTTCTGCTTCTCAGCTCTGGGCCCGCTGCTCTGGCTCGGGGAGAGATGGTGGTTTCCATCCCTGGCCGCCAGAAAAAAAAAAAAAAAAACACAAGCCAAATCAACAAACCCTCTGAAATCCTAACCTCCAACAGTCCTCCCTGTGTATTTTGTAGATCTCTCTGTTTTGCTTTGAGACTTTGGAGTCTGGAAAATTGCAAGCACGTCCTCAGAGGGGATCCAATGATCTGGCCCATTTGCCTGTCTTCCTGCATGTCTGTTTCATCTGTTTCCCTTTATTTATATTTCCGTTGGATTTTTTTTTCTCCCCCTGCAGAAATGTCTTAAAGTACACCCTAGGTCTACCTCTCCACTTTTAAATACTTGACTCTGTGTCTGTAACAGAGAAAGGACTTAAAGACAAAAACCTCGAACCTATATCTCCCACTTTTTATAATTAGTTTGTTTGAATCGGGAGCTAAACCCAGCCCTCAGTTCCTGTTTTGAATTTGCTTGCTATGCTCCTTCGTCTCCCTCTCTCTCTCCCGCTCTCTTTAATCCTTGGCTTTTTGGGAGCAGTTTTTGGATCACATAGAAATTGAGCACAAAGTACAGAGTTCTCAGATGCTCCCCCGCCCCCTGCCCCAGTTTCTCTTATTATTAACATCTTGCATTAATGTGGAAACTCTAAAAGTCTCTTCTCATCTATAACGGTTTCCACTTTAAAAAAAAAACAACTACTTGTTGGTGAAAAGTGGGTCATTGGTTGTGGAGCCTGTTTCCCATTCTGGATCTGACCCCGGGCTGGTGTTTGAGATGCTCGTCCACCCCCCGGCCTTCCTCCGGTGTCGGTAGTTGGACTGGGAGCCTTGGCTGGATTCTTGTCTCGCCTTCTGGGCCCACTCAACAGCCAGGTGTCTGCGCTGCGGGCTCTCGGGTGTCCCGGGGGTGAGCGATAGGAAGATTGGTTGCCTTTTCCAGGGCTGGCTGCCCTGAGGCATCCTGGCCCCTTCCTGAGATCCTCCTTGGGCCTGCCTGCCTGCAGATTAAAGCCCCCAGACCCAGGCCTCCTGGCCAGCCTCGTCGGGTGGGGGAAGCAGTGTGGGAAGTCCACCTCCTCTCTCCCTCCCGGGGGAACACAGTTTTGGCTGACCCCAGCCTGCCTCCAGGTTACATCCACTACCAGCCTGCCCAGGACCGGCTGCAGCCACACCTCCTGGAGATGCTGGTACAGCTGCCGGCCAACTCCGTCACCAAAATCACCATCCAGTTCGAGCGGGCGCTGCTCAAGTGGACTGAGTACACACCGGATCCCAATCATGGCTTCTACGTCAGGTGGGCCCCCCAGGCCGTGTGCTTGGCCCCTTCCTCCACCCCCGCCCCCCACCTCCCGTCCCGTTGGCTCCTGGCCGGAGAGCCGTGGCCAGCACGCTCCTTCTCTGCAGCCCGTCGGTGCTCAGCGCCCTCGTGCCTAGCCTGGTGGCAGCCCGAGCCGTGGACTGGGAAGAGAGCCCGCTCTTCAGCTCCCTGTAAGTGTGTCCTCTGGGTCCTCCCCGCTGGCCCCGGGGTGGGCTGGGAGTTCCCGTGGCCTCTGCCTATTGTGGGGCCTCGGAAAGGGGCAAGTGTCCTCCCTCGGCACAGACTTCAGAAATGGATTCTGAAGCATTTCTGGAAGAGATCGGTGTGAAGAGCAGCACTTTATAGCCTGCATTTCCTCGTTGATTCTCTCTCTCTTTTTTTTTTTTTTTTTCGGGTCACACCTGGCGATGCTCAGGGGTTACTCCTGGCTTTGCGTTCAGGAATTACTCCTGGCGGTGCTCGGGGGACCCTATGGGATGCTGGGAATCGAACCCGGATCAGCTGCGTGCAAGGCAAACACCCTCCCCGCTGTACTATGGCTCCAGCCCCACCTCATTGATTCTCTTAACAAATATTTCCTTGAGGGGGCCGGAACCATAGTACAGCGGGGAGGGCGTTTTCCTTGCTTGTGTCTGACCTGGGTTGGATCCCCGGCAACCCATATGGTCCCCCGACCACCTCCAGGACTGATTCCTGAGTGTAAAGCCAGGAGTAAGCCCTGAGCATCGCTGGGGATGACTCAGAAAGTCCAAAAACCAAAGATAAAAAAAAAAAAAAGGGCTAGAGTGATAGTATAGCGGGTAGGGCATTTGCCTTGCACGTGGCTGATCCAGGTTCGATTCCCAGCATTCCGTAGGGTCCCCTGAGCACTGCCAGGAGTAATTTCTGAGTGCAGAGCCAGTAGTAACTCCTGAGCATCGCCAGGTGTGACTCAAAAAGAAAAAAAAAATCAACCCTGAGCACTGCCAGGAGTAATTCCTGAGTGCAGAGCCAGGAGTAACCCCTGTGCATCGCCAGATGTGACCCAAATAAAAAATTCCCTGAGCGCCAAGCCAAGGGTAGATGGTTCCGAGAGGCTGGATGAGCGCAGGAGATAAACACATGTGCCCCCCTCCCCGCCCCTGTGCTGTTCTGCTGCAGCTGGAATCCGGAGAGGAGGTTCTGTTCTAGAGGCGAGAGACCTGGGTAGAGCTGGGGCGTGTCCGGGTCACGGGATGAGGGGTGGGAAGGCATCTTTCTCTTACTTTTGTTTGCTTTTGTTCGGGGGTCACCATCAGTGGTGCTCAGGGCTCACTCCTGGCCCAACGCTCAGAACGGTGCTCGGGGATGAAGCCGGGGTTGGCCACGTGCACGCCCCCCCCATTGTACTCTTGCTCTGGCCCCTGGAAAGCATCTATAGACCGAGCCTGAGCCCCTGCAGTCAGGGAAGGCAGACCCAAGACTGCACCCCTTCCCAGGAGAAGGGGGAGGTGGGGAGGGGACAGCTGCCCTGGGTGGTGCTGGGGTGGGAGCCACAGGCCTCGCCTCACCCCGTCTCCCCATCCTGGCGCCAGGTTCCCGGTGTCCGACGGCTCCAGCTACTTCGTGAGACTCTACACGGAGCCGCTGCTGGTGAGCCTGCCCACGCCCGACTTCAGCATGCCCTACAACGTCATCTGCCTCACGTGCACGGTGGTGGCCGTGTGCTACGGCTCCTTCTACAACCTGCTCACCCGCACCTTCCACATCGAGGAGCCCAGCAGCGGCGGCCTGGCCAAGCGGCTGGCCAACCTCATCCGGCGGGCGCGGGGCGTACCCCCGCTCTGAGGCTCCCCCCCTGGTCACAACCCGGCTGCCTTTGTCTCCTGGGAGCGGTCGGCACTGCCTCCTGCCATCTCCCAGGTTGGCTCTTGGGCCAGACTTGCCCCGGCCAGGCGCCTCCAGCTGTCAAAGCCCCCATCAGAGTTGGCGGCTGAGCTCAGAACAGCGTCCCTTCAAAATTCACTTCCGGGCGCAGAGAGGACTCACAGCCGGGGCTTTACACGGGGGCGCCCAGGTTTGCTCCTCAGCACTCTACAGTCCCCGGAGCACCGAGCCAGGGGTGGTCCAGAAGCCAGACAGCCGAAACCAGACTTTGTTCACCCGGACTGGCCGTAGTTCTCCTGTCTCGTCTTTTTGCTTTGTTTTGTTGGCGGTGCTGAGCTGGACCCGGGCTGTCCCCCACGGCAGAGCAGCCCCCGGCCTGTGTTTGCCGTATTTCAGGTCGAGCTGGTGGCCTCTTCGGGGTAGCAGAGAACCATTTCCAGCAGAAGTGCTACGGAGAGCTCCGTCAGGCCAGCTGGCCTTGCAGCGGGGCGGAGGTGGGCATTTGCTCCCCTGCGTCATCGAGGAAACTTGGGGAATAAAACTTGGCCCCTTCCTCAAAGTCTTGCCTCAAGTCCTTGACTCCTGGGAAGAGTTCTGGGGTCCGAACCTGTTCGCTGGCTGCCTGAACTGGAATCTTCCCCTCCTACACCCAAGACAGAATAAACTTCCGACCTCCTCCCAAACCCCGCCCCACCTCCATCTCATATTCCCAGAACTCCTGGGTCTGGCTGAGGGGTGTTTATGCAAACAGGTCTATGACCAAGTAAATGAATTATCTTCTGCCTCTTGAAGGCCCTAAGAACTAGTGTCCACTCCCCACGGGGAGGGCTCGGGGGTGGGATTAAGTGTCTGTGGGAGTGGAGGGTGGGATGAAACAGCCCAGACAAGGTGGGGGCTTGTCAGTCGGGGTGTGGCCCAGTCTGGGTTTCTATCCCGCTCCATGGAACCTGTGCTGTGGGTGGCCCTAGGGCCTGATCCATGGGGTCAGCCCTGCTGTGGCCACCCTATGTTTTTTACCGGGAATCCCTGGGAAGCCCCCCCCCCCCCCCCCCCCCCCCCGCTATACCCCCTGCTCTCATTCTCTGCCACATCTGGCATGAAACCTGAGTTGAGATCTGGCCCCCTCACCCTCAGTTCTTACATCATAGTGGTTTGGCTTGGGATATCTTGTTGCACTAGTCTCTGCCTCCCCCCCCCCCCCCCCCCACCTCTCTCTCTCTCACACACACACACACACACACACACAGACAAGATACTTCCTCCAGGAAGTCTGCCCTGCTACATGTTACTGTGGGTCATCCCACCCTCTGCCCCCACAGCCCTTCAGTGTTGCTTTTACGTCCTCCTTATAGTCCTGACTACATAGCCTTTATCTTCCATTAGACCGTGACCTTTTACATGTTCTCACGTTTTTCTTTTTGAATAACGGTGATTGATAAGAGTGTAAATGGTGACCAGCGCACACTCCTTACCGAAGAAGTGCCAGTATCCACCTACCGCTGTCCCTGGGTCCCTGTCTGTTCACAGGCCCCTTCCTCCTGTCCAGGTCGCCTCAGATCTGTAGTCGGCGTCTTAGGGCTAGTGTTCAATGGACATTAGCGGACTAATGACTGATTTCACACCCTCTCGGTTCATCCACATCATAGCCAGAAGGCAGTATTCCCTCTTCTGTTGTTTGTCTGCCTCCCTGAGCTCTTTGGAGTCACAGTGGCTGTCTGTCTTCCGACTGAGGACATGTAAGTACTCAGTAAAAGCATGGAGGGCTCCTCTGGGGAGCTGGGGTCCTGGGGTAGGCTGAGAAGAGTCGTGAGTTGCGCAGTCCTTGACACAGTCCTGCCATGAGTGATATCTCCGGCCTACCTGGAGGTGTCTCCACGGTTTTTCAAGAGTCCTGAGAACATCCAAGTGTGCACACGTGTGTGTAGGAGGGAGGCAAGGAGCTACTCTCAGGCAAGAGCAAAATCAGTTCGAAGGTCTGATAGTCTCTGATAACAGAAGGCAGTTACGTTCCAAGACGCCAGAGGCTACCTGAAATCCGCATTCTTGGGCAGCTCTCAGGATGGCGGCTCTAGACCTGCATGCCCGTGACAAACTCAGTCCTTGCACTGGCCACAGTCAGAGACAGATGAGCACTAAAATAGAGCAATGACAATCTACGATAACATTGGTTTGCCCTTCCTCCCTGGCCACAGGGAGCTTGGGTTTGTTGATTGCTCCCCCAACCTGTCTCCTGATCAGACTCTGTTGACTTGTAAATATTGTTTTTCTCCTCTCCTTAATGTCCTTTGCATGGTTAGTTACTTCAGAGCAATTACTTTTTGTATGGACACAGGAAGGCAAACCAATGTTATCCCACATCTCCCCCTTTTCTTTTGACAAAAACACAAAATTTGAAATAGAAAAATAGGCAAACCATGTTATCCTACAATGACAATGATAGACATAATAACAAGCCATCGTGGCTGTTATTGCATATGATATTCTTGGTCTCCTCTTGACTAAAACTCCAGAAAGAAGAACCTGGAGGAGAAACTGCTATACCTGAGTCTTCCCTGAAATTCCACTTGGGACACCTTTGTGGGTGTAAAGGTAAAGGCCCTCCCGTTGATCGTCGATTTGCTCGAGCGGGCCCAGTAACGTCTCCATTGGAGACTTTGTTGTTACTGTGTCTGGCATATCCAATACTCTCGGTAGCTTGCCGGGCTCTCCGAGAGGGGCGGAGGAATCGAACTCGGGTCGGCCATGTTGGCCGCTTGTAAGGCGAACACTCTACCCGCTGTGCTATCGCTCCAGCTTGTGGGTGTAGTAGAGGTATTAAGAGCCTTGCATGCCCCGCTGGGCACCAGGCAGATCTACCTATTCTGTGTCCAAATGCTGCAAAATAATCCACTTTGCTGGCCAGAGGTGGTTCCAGGACCCAAGAATCAGTTTCCAGCCCCAATCCTCATGATCCAAATTGGGACTGAGTTCCACAACCCTCCCCTTTCCCCAACCCCCACCCCACTCATGGTCACCTCCCTGAATTCAGATGTACATAACTAGTCTCCAAATCCGAATGATGGGGGAGGATTAACTCTTCAGAACTTGATCTAAAAACTAGAAACCCTGCGAGTTTCACAAAGGACACTGACTCTTTCTTCCGAAGGCCTGTGAGAGGGTTTGAGGGTGCTCCTGAGGGCCAGAGTCAATTTCCAAGACAGTTAAAAGAGTGGCTGGAGGGACCAGAGTGATAGCAGAGCAGGGAGGGCATTTACCTTGCACACGGCCGACCCGGTTTCAATCCCCGGCATCCCATATGATCCCCTGAGAAACACCAGAGGTGATTCCTGAGTGCAGACCCAGGAGTAGACCCTGAGCATCGCCAGGTGGACCCAAAAAGAAAAAAAAAAGAGGGACTGGAGCGATAGCATAGCGAGTAGGGTGTTTGCCTTGCAGGCGACCAATCCAGGTTTGATTCCCAGCATCCCATATGGTCCCCCGAGCACCACCAGGAGTAATTCCTGAGTGCAGAGCCAGGAGTAACCCCTGAGCATCACTGGATGTGACCTAAAAAGCAATAAATAAATAAATGAAAGTGGGGTGGGGCGTGGGGGAGGAAGGGGCTGGAGCAATAGTACAGAGGATAAAGCATTTGCCTTGTACGCGGCAGATCCGGATTCAATCCCTGGCATCCCATATGGTCCCTGACACACCTGGCTCTGAGTGCAGATCCAGGAGTAAATTCTGAGCATCGCTGGGCGTGACCCAAAAAGCAAAATAATAAGAAAAGAAAGTGGGACTCTGCCTATACGCTGGAGAGCTGCTGGTAGTAGTAGCCTGACCATAGATAGAATACAAGGCACACTTCTGTATGTCGCCTGCCTCTACCTGGTGAGCTCTGGCCTCCTGCATGCCGTAGGCAGGCACAAAGCCAGACCAGTGTCTCTGCCAGGGCTGCCCGGTCTCCCAGGAGCCCTACCAGAGTCGGGTTCAGAGCAAGCCGTGGTTTGCCTTGGCATCTGCCAGAATTGGGCAAGGTTTGCATGACTTTTAATTTCAGTTTTCCCCTGGGCTGTTTAAGGACATAAATGGCAGGATTTGTGGAGAACTGTGTGGAGTCCTCTCCAGCCCTGAATTGATGAGTGATGACCAACGGGGCGCAGGGCCAAGCCCTTCTGTTCCTAAAGCTCAAATCCCTTCCCACGCGCGCACAGATGAGGGCGCCCTGGCCCAGAAGCCAGAAATCAGGCTGGGAGCCCCGCCCCCCACCCCCCCACCCCCCCGCCCTGCCCTCCCTCCCCTGCCGCGCTGCCTGTGCACCCTGCAGGCTGGACACTAGGGGGCAGAGGAGAGGCATCTCAGAGTTTCCTCTCCTGCTCCCAGGTGTGTGCGTGGACTGGGCTGGACCCTGCACCCCTTCCAGAAGCCCAACCTGCACATTCCTCAAAGAGCACACTCCAAGGCCAAACCTCTCCCGGCCTACAAACGCTTCAGGGCAGGCAAACTGATGAGGTTTTGTGGTGATGACACACTTCCTCCCCAGCAAAACCTGGAAGAATTCGAGCCCTTCCCTGCGCGCCGTGAAGCAACCCGCCCACTCTAGGGCCTGGTGGTGGCAGGAATGGTGACAGGCTCCCCATTCTGGCCCAAGGGCCCTTGGTCTCCACCGGGTGAGCCCTGCTTCGGTGCCCTGTGACACAGCAGAGCCCGCTGTAGACCAGAGGCCATTCCCACAGCCCCGAGTCGCCAGAACACTCGGACTGGTGCTCCCTCTCCACCACATCTCTTTCCACTGTCCTCCCCCAGCACCTCCTCCTCCTCCTCCTCCTCCTCCTCCTCTTCATCCTCCTTTCTCTTCTTCCTCTTCCTCTTCCTCTTCCTCCTCCTCCTCCTCCTCCTCATCCTCCTGCTCCTCCTCCTCCTCTTCTTCTTCTTCTTCTTCTTCTTCTTCTTCTTCTTCTTCTTCTTCTTCTTCTTCCTCCTCCTCCTCCTCTCCCTCCTCTTCCTCTTCCTCCTTCTTCACCTTCTTCATCTCCTTCTTCTTCCTTTTCTTCTTCCTCCTCTTCCTCTTCCTCCTCCTTCTTCTTCTTCCTCTTCCTCCTTCTCCTCCTTCCTCTTTTTCCTCTTCTTCCTCTTCTCCTTCTTCCTCCTCTTCCTCTTCCTCCTCTTTCTCTTCCTCCTCCTTCACCTTTTTCATCTTCTTCTTCTTCTTCTTCCTTTTCTTCTTCTTCTTCCTCCTCTTCCTCTTCCTCCTCCTTCTCCTTTCTCTTCCTCTTCCTCCTCCTCCTCCTTCCTCTTTTTCCTCCTCTTCCTCTTCTTCTCCTTCTTCCTCCTCTTCCTTTTCCTCCTCCTCCTCCTTCCTCTACTTCTTCTTCCTCCTCTTCCTCCTCCTTCCTCTTCTTCCTCTTCCTCTTCTTCTTCTTCTTCTTCGTCGTCTTCTTCTTCTTCTTCTTCCTCCTCCTCCTCTCCCTCCTCTTCCTCTTCCTCCTCCTTCACTTTCTTCATCTCCTCCTCCTCCTCCTCCTTCTTCTTCTTCA